CCGAGGTGCGTTGTTCGAGTCAACTGCCTCCACATTCTTCGGTCTTCGATTAAATCTGCGGTCCCTCCTCGCAGTTTCATGTCGTTCTACAGGACATGACGCCACCTTTTCTTTGGCCTTTCATTACTTTTTCCTTGGAAGTGTCGGTTCTTAGACCACATTTCCAACTTACTCGTTGGATCTTTTTTGCACGTGGCTGAACCGACGGAGTTCATTTACGATAAGCTTTTCTGAAAAAGATGCTAAGCCTAAAGTGGCGTTTCTGAAGCTCTTCCACACATAATGACCATATAATCACATAATCATCTGACTTTCATATTTCTACAAAATTCAGCTGTTACTCATATCGTTTCTAGGTAGCCAAACTTACCGCTCCGTACAGAAGCATCGCACTTATCGTTGTGTACCCCTTCTCCATTAGTTTGACTGGCATCTTCTTATCACGCAGTACACCGCTCACTTTTCTCCATTTAACCGGTTCCATTTTCGGCCGATTTTTTAATTTACTATCGATTTCGCCATTTTGTTGCAGGATGGAACTAAGATACTGAAATTCTTGGGTTTGAGGCACCCTTATTTTCATTGATTTGATGAATTTAACTCTTTCTTCTCAATGAAACAGTCCGCCAAGGGCTGGCTTTTCCCAAGGACCACTCTCCATGAATTGATTTTTGATTTTGCAGCTCAGTAGAACGCCTTCCGCATAGAAGATGCAGTACGTGGCTGGTTCCTACAGCTCTTTAGTGATAGCATTCGCTCGCCATCGAAAACAGAAATAGATCCAGTGTTGAACCTCGACGGATCCGTGCCTACACAGAAAATTCTTCCATTCTGCCGCATATGCTTCCAACTATCATTGTCACTCTGTCGAAATTTTTTTTAAGCCTGGCATAATTTTCTGGCACCAGTTTCTTTCTCATCCTCCACTGAATTATCTGATCTGTCGCCTGAATTCGATCAGAAGCTTACTTTAGATCTAGGAACACCATGTGAATGTCTTTTCTGGACTATCTGTAAGATTGGAGGGCTGATCATAAAGCAAAGATGGACTCGGTGCCGCCAAAGACCTCCCTGAAAAAAAACTAAATCGGTTCGTGATGATATGCATCACCTTTCAATACCGTTTCATATAGCTTCATGGTGCAACTGAACAGCCTAATTCCCAGAGAGTTTCCACAGACGAGCATATTATTGAACATCATGTGGCCACGGTCGTCGTCCAGGTTACCAAAGGCCGGACAGGCCATTGAAGAACTCATATGCACTGCGAAAAGTCCACGATTGGGGCCTGCTTTACGTATTCTCACAGCAAGATAACGAGAACACGGAGACAGCTGCAGAGGATCGGCAGAAAACGACGATGTCAGTCAGCAGTGGAGCTGCAACCCGTTCTAAACGGAGAAGGCAAACAACCCAAAGTCGTTATTGCATGTCAAGCAATGTTCACTGGAACCGTTTACAAATGAGTTACACGATAAATGAATACGTAATATGTCTAAATAGATATGAAAGTTTATTGTTTATGACTTAAGGAATGTGCGCTATAAAATTCAGCTCTCAGGTTGGCAAGGGTTGATTGGATTGTTCGTAGGTCAGTGCGCTGCCCTTTTCTTGGTTGTTTGTGCTGAGGAACGATGGAGTGAAGTCACTGCTAATCGGAATTCATAAAAGCAGAGGATTTCATGGAGCTTAAACTTTTCGAAAAAATGTCACATGTTCCATGCGCTGCTGTTTTCCGTCTTAAG